ATATATATATATATATGCATTTTCTTTATCCAGTCACTTGTCAGTAGATACTTAGGTTGCCTACACATCCTGCTATTGTAAATAATCTAGCATTGAACATTGCAACTTGGGGGTGATGATGTCTCTGAGATGGAGATTTCATTTCCTTTGGATACACACCCAGAGGAAGAATTCCTGGGTCAGGTGGCTATTCTATTTGTAAGTTTTTGAGGCCCCTCCACCCTGTTTTCCATAGTGGCCACACCAATTTACACTCCCACCTGCTGTGCACAGGGGGTCCCCTTTCTCCACAGCCTCACCAACATTTATTGTCTCTTGTCTTTTGGATAACAGCCATTCCAACAGGTGTGAAGTGGCATCTCTGGTGGGTTTGATTGGCATTTCCCTGATGATTAGTGATGGTGAGCATCTTTCATGTACCTGTTGGCCATTTAAATGTCTTCTTTAGAAAGATGTCTATTAAAGCCTTTGGATTATTTTCAATTGAACATAAGCATTTTTGTATAGTTGCTCTGGGTATGTTTTTCTGTGCATTTCAAAATAATATAAAAAACAAATGTTATCTTTTAGATAAAGTAGTGGTCTCTAAAGTGTGTTATGTGAGGTGATCCATTGTGGTATCAGAAGTCTGTTTACGTTTTTATTAATAAGAAAGGAAAAAACGCCCCCTAACATATAACAGGATTTCCCTGGTGCCTTCTGTGTTTGTCAGACAGTCACATGTGAGTGATTGGACCCAGGAGAAAGCGTGGGGCCCCTCTGGCAGGGTTCAAGGTGGTGCTCTCACTTGCTAGGCCAAGGTCAGATGCTCACTGTCTAGGGGGCAGGGATAGCACTGAACCAACCAGCACAGCGGGGCAGAGTGGTTGAAAAATATCTCCTCTGACATCCGTAGACTAAAGCACCAAAGGAGCTGCCCCTGCTCCCGCATCTGGTGTAAGCTCTTCAAGCGTCCCTAGCTTGAATTTAATTCAAAAACTCAAAAGTCACCAAAAAATTTCAAGGCCACATGAAATACGCCCTTGCCTCCACTACTATGAATAATAAATCTTACCGTAAATGCACATTGTCTTGAGGGGTTATTTTTGGCTAGGGCTGCTTGAAGCCATCATGAACGTGTTAAAGTATTGTTCATTTCATGGATACGAATATCTCATATTTCTATATATGTATTTTAATTATTGATGTATGCTTTAAAATGGAGATTCACAAATCAGTAAACATACATACAGTGGGATTCTCAGCTTAAAATCTTTTACCTTATTTTTTATAACCCTGCCATGAAAAGTTTCTAGAACACTGAATCTGACTCTATTTCTTTGTCCTCTCTACCTCCCAGTGATTCTGAAGGTGAACACCCTGTTTTTAATTTTACAAGTGCCTTTCTGTAAATTGATAAAAAAGAGCTTGAACCTATTTTTCCTTTAATTATAAATGCTAAGAGTAGAATGCTATATATTTCCTTTCCCATATTCATTGAGAATTGAGCATTTTTTTTCTCTCTCTCTACAAATTCCCAGTTTTTTAAATCTATCATTTTGAGTCCTATATAGTTTCTAGTCATTAAATCTTGTATACTCCAAGATTTTCCAGAAACTTAAAAATATTTGCATTACAAGTTTGGTTCTTCAGCAGCTTGAGAGGAATGTACTAATGGGCTCACGTTCAAGTTTCTTTAAGAAAAAAAAGAGATTTAATTAAGGATCCTCAGTACTGAGGCTGGAATTGGATGTGGAAAATTTCAGGAGAGTGAGAGCCAGGGACACTTAGGCTCTAAATTGTTCCTTCACTTTAAAGGAATGTTACAATAGAATCTGTGACTGTTAGAAACACACTTTGCTTCTAACGAGAGAGACCTAATCATGAGCTTGTTTGTCTCTTGTGTCCAGAAACAAATTGTAGGGGAGAACTGTGAGGAAAAAAAAAATTAACTCTATGTAGCGTCAGGGTCCCAGGCTCCATGTATTTTTCTGATCCTTAGTGTGTGCTTCCCATCGTCAAGGTCACAAAATGGTTGCTGGAATGCTAGCCATCACGTCCATGTTTCAGACAACAGAAAGAAGAAAGGAGGAGACGGGCGAGACAGCTTTCCCTCAAGTCCCACCCAGTGACTTCTGCTTACATTTCATTGGCCTTCCCTGTCCGAGAAGGGAGCCTGGGAAATGTCAGTTTTTAGTCAGGCACCTCACTACCACCAAATACACAGATGGGAGGCAGAGGATAGAGAATGGGTAGGCCACCAGCAGTTTCAGCCATAACACCCTTTAACACGTTTCTTTGAGCATATATACAGCTTTCCTCCTAAGATCAATTCCTAGAAGTAGAATTTCAGGACCAACGTGAATTGTACATTTATATATTGACAAACTGCTCCCCAAAAAGCTGTGCATATTTACATTCCCACTGAGAGTGCATGGGACTTCCTGTTTTCCCACAGCCTTGCCAATACTGGTCATTCTTATCCTGAATATCAGTTTGATGTATGAAAACTGGCTTCTTGTTTCGTTTCTTTTTCCATGATGATTCATGAATTTGAGCACCTTTTAGAAAATTAACTTGTTGGCTTGACAAGTATTGGGTCGTCGGAAAAGTCATGACGTATTTTTCTATGTTTTTTGTGTGCCCTTTCTCGCCCCCTCACCCCCATCACAGTGTCCCAGACAAGACTTGGTTACAGGCAGTGCTCAGGACTGCAGATGCATAAAAGCTGATTGAGCCAATACAGGCAGGTCCCGTGAACTGCCTGGGGGAGAAATTAAATTTTCTTTCGAATACCGTAAAAATCAAACAAGGAAGAAGAGGCCAAGGGAGATGCTTGCTCATCAGTCATGAAGGCTGAGTGAGGCCGGACAGTGGCTGTTTATGGTTCTGGGAAGCTGTTGGTTCAGTTCCCATATATGACTCATCACGAGGGGCTCTGTCTGGGGTTTGTCCTGTGTGGGGAGGAGTGGACATGGCTGAGAAGAGGAAAAGGTCAGCTTGGTTCACGCTGAAGTCCTGGTTGATCTTTGGAGTTACACACTCATCCCACCTAAATAGGCAGACAAGTTTTGGGCTTCAGCGTAGAAACCCACCGTGCATCACTGGTTAATGGCGCCCTGTCAGTCAGTAACATAGCAGGGACTCCATCTGGTCCTCCGTTTCTAAGGATGATCATGTTTAGGTAACTCACATGTCAGCTTCATTAAACTTGATCTGACCTGACTTTTATTCCTGGGATGATCTTGTGCTGTTTTCAGTCTTCACTAACCTTTTTTTTTTTTAAGATTTTTTTTTACTGGGGAATTGGGGGAGGGGAACAGACAAGTTGCTGTCCTTTTGTTCTTCAGTCTAGTTGTGGAGGATATTGCTTCACTGGCCCAAGTTGGCACCATCATAGCGCTCTTACCGGGCGAGGCAGATCAGTCGCCGGCTTCTGGACGGCCGCTCACGGCGGCTGCTGGCCGCTCACGCTGGCTGCTGGCTACACACGGTAGCCCATGGCAACCCACTGCAGCAGTGGCTGCAGGCAACGCCATCGCCAGTGACTCACAGCAGCCCAGCTCCAGGTTGAGCTGTTGTTCAGCATCTTAGCTGTGGAGGGCAGTGTCACTGGCCCTCATATGTGGGATCCAAATTGGGGTCTGGCATCCCAAGCCAGCTCTTAACCAACGCGCCACTCGGCCGGCCCTTCACTAACTTTTTAGCCTCTGTTCTCACAGCCTCCCCACGCCAGGGGAAGTTCCGTGACGATTCACACCTGTCCTGTTTGCATTCCCTGAAATGAGCGAGGTGAACTGAACATAAATAACCTCACTGCATCTCTGCAGGTTAGCATAAGAAGATTACAGTGCACAGCGTCTGCCATCTTGTGGGCAGTCCCCTCACTGTCCTTTCAAAGCCAATTTCAGAAAATTGACGACCACCTCAGAGGGGGCATCCACGTGTCTACTCTGGTTGCTCATCTCATGTTTTCCTCATGCTAGTCTGCCTTTCTCAGCCTCTTTGGGATTTTGGAGAAGAAAATGTTGTCCGTCTCATTACATCTTCTCAGAAAATTTGCATAGCTCCTTGCAAATTCCCTCCATAGGTGGGAAAGAAGACCCAGCACAACAGTTACTGTGGCTCTAAGCGCGTCTGTCCTGTGTGACATCTCACTCCCTCATTTTGCTAATGGTGGGGGCAGAGCTCGTCTCTCTGGGACACCTTTTTTGTTTTAGCCGAGCCATCCTGCCACCTGTTGGCAGCTCAGTGGCAGCTCAGCTCGGGCCGGGCATCGAACGGCTGTTGCTCAGAGCTCGCACTCTTGAGCAAGTTCTTAACCAACTGAACCACCTGGCCAGCCCTCTCTGGGATACTTTTAAGGGTCATATAGCCTCATCGTCCATCCTGGCTCTGGCCCTCTCCTCGAGGGGACCAACTCGTGGAACCTCAATGTGCCTATCCAACTCAGCCAGGAGGTGCTGGGGTCCAAGGTGGGAAGTGTGTACCATTCTGATCAAATCTGGCAGCGATTCGGTTTAGAGCTGCTCTCCTAGCACACGTTCTGCCTGTTCAGAGTCAGGGACACGCTGGTGTCATGCTCCTACTCACCGGAATCAGCATCCTTTGGTGGAGGCCCTTCCTCTTACAGGAAAAGCAGAATCAGCAGTGGGACAGCCTGAGTCTTTCCCTTTGTCTCTCCCTGTTAAGACACAGTCAGTATTGGGACATCCATAGCCCAACAAAGAATCCTGTGCACAGCCCAGGACTACCCCCGAGAGCCATCCATCAGTACATCTGAAGGCGGTGGACTGACCTCGTGGACGTGGCAGAACCATCAGAGCAGTGGCGACATGACTCATGACTGGAGGACCCAGGAAGTGGGAGGTGACCGAGGCCAGAGGATGCAGGAAGCACGCAGCGCCTGCTAGCCATGTCTCTGTACCTCTGTGGTGTTTCTGTGGTGGCCGCCCAGTGACCTTGGCCCATCCGGCAGTGGGGGTGCCCACATCCCCAGAGATCCCATTTCACCAGCAGAAAAAGTGGCGCATGTGACATTGGTCTTGTGTGACCAGGGAGCTGAGGGCACAAGGGTCAGAGTAACGCTGACCAGGCAGCTGGAGCTGGAGCAGAGCTGGGAGAGGATGTGTCTGCAGGCATCCTGCTGGGAACGGAAGTAGCCTGGGAGTGCTGCCTTCTCCTGTTTCTTCCCCTTAATTGACCTTCATGGCCGGGCCTGGCCTGTGGACCTCACTGTAGAGAGTAGTGACAGGTCTCTTTCCTTCCAGATGTTGTCCACGGACGCCCTAGGAGTGTAAGAAACAGGGCATCTGGAGCAGCTGAGGGGTCCCCAGGGGCCTGCGTGGCAGCAGTGCTGCTGACATGACTGCGGAAGTGTCTCCCAAGGGGCCCGCACGACACGGGTCCCCTGTAAACGTTCTTACTGTGATGTCGACTCGCCAGAAGGAGGTAAGGAGGCAGAGGGGCCAGAAAGGGCAGATGACCGGGTTTGACAAACCTGACGGGGGCACACAGGGACCTGGGGAGCCCAGGTGGCACAGCTCCCAGCTCTCACCTTGTCCCCGCCCTCCTTGGGCTCTTGCTGGCTCAGCTCTATATAGTGGATGTCATCCTCATGGACTCGACGGCCCTCCTCCAATCCCGCACCTGAGTCACACGCAAAATAAAGCTCGACTCTGAGCCTCAGAACCCCCCCCCCACTGCTGTGACCTCCAAAGCCAGAGCCACACCACCACCCTGTGCAGGGACAAAGGGACAAAGGGAGCCAGGGGCACCGTGCGGGAGGGTCCGGGCCTGAAGGGGAACCGCAACCTGCCTGTTCCCGTCTCCATCTCCTCTTTCTTCTTCCCACGTGTCTTCCACAGGTACAGCCCGACTCCCACAGTCAGCAGCGCAGACATGACAGCAACTACAATGCCTAGCAGGTGGTGACGAGTGGCCTGTCCCTGTGGATCTGTTTCTCTCACATGGAGAGTGAGGAAGGGTAAGACAAGAGAGAATGTGAGGTACCCACTGCCAAGGGGAGAGAGAGACAGAGCAGGTGGAGAAGTCCGCAGGGTCCTGGTTCAGTGCCGAGGACGGAGCAGCATGGCAGGTACAGAGAGATGACAAGGATGGTGTTGCCCTGAGGAGCTCGTCACCCAGGAGGGAGGACAGGAATGGCAGATGAGGTGATGGGTATACTCAGTCTGCAGGGAAACATAGGAGCTTCCCAGACACTTTGGGTGGTTATGACACTCCAGGAAGGGCGGAATCCTGGAGAAAGCAAGCCCTTGGGAGTTGCCAGCACCCCTGTGACTGGCAGGACAGGGATGGAGCAGGAATGATTGGGGGTCTTGTGGGTCATGCTGAGTGTTGAAATTCACCTGGGACATCAGATTGTGGTGGGAGGAGAGGGTGATGGGTTTTACATGATGCTGACACGTCAGACCCCTCAGCGGGTGGGGGATGGGTTCAATGCTGAGGCTGCACACAGGGGCACAGGTGAGTCACTCACTCAGTGCGACACCAGCTGTGAGCAAACTTGTCCAAAAGCCCTGCTTGGCACATGGAGCCAACGGAGGACAAGGTGTCCAGGCTACAAAGGACACCCATCCATTCAGAGACAGCACTGCCACCAGTGTGGGGGCCATGGACTGCTCCTGGAAGGAGGTGACACCTGAGGGCAGGGCAAGGACAGCGCCACATGGCCCCATGAAAACAGGACCAAGGGCCTTTTGTTCAACTTCATTGAAGGCCGAGCTTGAAACCCAGCAAGGGGCCCTGTGTGACAGCATGGGTCACATGATCACAAAGTCAGCTGTGTCTGAGGGAAACCCTTCAATAAAATACGACGAGAAATGAAGGATTCGTGTGGGAGGGCGGGTGGTGGAGGCACAGGCTGTCTGGAGCTCACAGCCTGCAAAGGCGAGATGTATCGGGAAGCGTTGGGTGTGCGGGGTGTGAGTGAGGTCAGATACACAGGTGGGTGGTGTCCCCCCAGGGAATCCCTCAGGGAGCCCCTGGAGACCAATCCCACAGACGACACAGGAAATGACACAACCCAGGTTCTGTGTCCAGAAGACGGCTCTGGGTGACGGTGGGGGTGGGAGGAAGGCTTCCTCCTGGGTCAGCAATGGCCAGGGTGCAGAGGAGGGTAGACGGTGAGAGACATTTAAATGCAGACACGAGTTGGGTATGACTCACAGCCGCTCTGTGTGTGTGACCAGTGGAAGGTGTGCTGTAACCCACAGGGACCGCAGTGCTACCTGGAGCTTTCCCCGGGCATTTTATACTTACGATGGGCACAGATGTCCCCCAGGGTGGTGGTGGCAGTTTTCAGGTCCACCTGGTTGCTGGCATTACAGGTGAGGCTGGTGTTGGCCTGGTCCAGGGGCAGGCGCACAGCCAGGGGCCAGACGCTGAGGCCTGGTCCCAGGATCACTGTCTGCTGCCACTTCCTGGGGAGGTCACTGTGCCACCAGGTCACATTCAGGTCCTTAGAGGCCCCCACGGCTCTGCACTCCAGGGTGACGTTGCACCAGTCAGCTGTGACAGACAGTGACTTGGCCAGGATCTGGGGGAGGGACACTGGCTCTGTGGTGGAGGGGTGGGGGAGACAGAAGGCTCAGGAGGGGGGCCCTTCACAGTGCAGGTTCTCACCCAGTCTCACCCAGCCGTGGCGTCCTCCCGCTAGGAGGCGAGAGCACTTTCCAGGTGAAACAGAATTTGGCCAAAATATACAGCAAGTGAGTGATCACAAGGAAGGCAACCGCGGGGTGAAGCCCAATATGATCCCACCAGACTGAGCAACTCTTAAAAATCTCCCTCAAGAAAATAAAGCCTGGACCCCACCTACTCAAGGCCCATCATTTCTCAGAAGTTGGGGTGTCTCCCGGGAGGTGCAGAGTCTGGCACAGGAGGAATGGCCGAGGCTAGGGCCATGCTCTATGTCTCCTGCTGAGGCCCCGTGGGACGGCTCAGCCCAGGGAGAGAGGAAGCCGCCAGCTCTGGGAGCCCAGAGAAAGGCCTGTGCTCCCGCAAACAGACATTTGTGGGAAAGGCGGTGATAGCGACGAGGAAGGGCCGCTGTGAGCGTGGTCAGCACAGGCCACTGAACTTGAGGTCCACACAGGAAGCCAAGTGACAGAATCCTACAGGGACATAAAGCTGCAGAAGCCACTGGCTGCAGCAGGATGTGCCCTATGCAGAGAGGTTCTCTAGGGAAGGAAAGAAGTGGCCTGATGAGCCTAAGAAGTGTGGCCGTGTGACCTGTCCCCGGCATGTCTGGAGGCTTTCCGAGCTGGATGTGTGGGGTGTCGGTGAGTGAGGCCTCGGCCAGTTGCTGGGTGAGCGCGGGCGGGGCAGGGAGCACCTGCCTACACGTGGGTTTCCAGACTGTGGTGGGCCGAGCAGTGGCCCCCACAATGTCCACGTGGTAACTGTGAAATCCTGTGAGCACGTTGGATGACACGCAAGGAGAATAAGGGAGCAGAATTACCATTGCTAATCAACTGCAGGACAATAAGGAGGTTCTTGGGGAGAGTCTGGGTGGGATCCGTGTGAGCTCAGGTCCTTCAAAGTGGAAACGGAAGGAGAGGGTTCAGAGGGCGGCAGCGTGAGGAGGACGAGACCAGCACTGCTGGCCTGGGAGGTGGGCAGGGCGGCCCCCATGCAGGGACGCGGGCGCCACTGGGTGGTGGGAAAGGCAGTGGTGGGTCCCCAGAGCCCGTGGAAGGGCAGCAGCACTGCTGACACCCTGCCCCCCACTCAGTGTGTGACCTCTCACCTATGGCCCGTGAGATAATGAGTCTGTGTTGATCTAAGCACGGAGCTGTCGTACTTTGTGACAGCAGCACAGGAAACTATCACACCGATGACCTATGGCTGCACTGATTCCTCTAAAGAGGCAGAAGTGTTGTGGCGATAACCCCATCCCCTCCCAGGTTCTGTCTTCCTGTCACCAAACACTGCAGTGACTCTAGCTCAGGTGTGAGTGTCAGGTCTGCTCTGCACTTGAGCTGAGCCCACTCACCTGACTTCCCGGGAGCTAAGAGAGACTGAAGGCTGGGTCTGGAAGGAGTCCCTGTAGGAGGGCCTATGTGACACTAGTGGGGACCAGAAAAGGAGGTGGCCCTGGGAGGGGGTGAGGTGTCACCTACCGTAGACAGTGAGCTGAAACACCTGGGTAAATTCCCTTCCTCCAGAGAAGCTGGCTCGAGCCCGGTACTGCCCACTGTCCTCAGGGGTCAGGTTCTCAATAAGCAGGGACGTCATATTGGGCACACGGACCCTGTGTCTGTACTTGTCCTGGAGGCTGACCCAGGTTGGCAGGTCCCCACCGCTGCCCACTCGCAGCAGGACTCTGTAGGTGGTCTCGGGGCCAAAGCCCCACGCCATCTCCTCCAGCTGAGCTTCTGTGTCTCCTTCCAGCTCCCGAGTCACGTTGAACAACACGGAGCCTCCTTGGACCCTCTTCAGAGAGACATGTGCTCTGGAATCCGCACCTCCAGAACTCAGGGACCCAGTGCCACAGACGCCTAGGGCATCGGAAAAGGGTGACGTGAGGGATGTAGGAAGGACCACACCACCCGTCTTCCGGGGAAGTCACCAGGGCTGTCCCTGGGGTCTCGGGAGGCAGCCTGGGGCAGCGAATGTGAACATTCGGAATCAAGTCCTGCTGTAGCGGGTGCAGCCCTGGGCAGGCCACTCGGCCACCTGCAGACCTGCAGACCCCTCCCTGCCTCACGGTGACAGGTGAGGTGAATGACATCATGGACAGCGGTGCCCAGGACATCTCCCGTCAGTGAGAAGCGCATCTGTAGGAACAGGTTCTAGAGAGGCTCCGTCCCCCTTGTGGTCACCCTGTTGACCCCTCACCTGGAGTGTGGCCACACCTGGGACTGGCTTATAAGGAATGGAGTGCCACAGAGCTGGGAGCAGCCTTGGGCCACCGCAGGGGAGGGGCAGGGCCCTGGGCCAGCAGCCACAGGGAGTGCATGCCACCAGCAACCGTGATGAGCTGGCAGCAGACCCCTCCCCTGAGTCTCAAGCCCCAGCCGAGGTCCTGGTTTCTGTCTGAGAGACCCTGAGCCAGAGGAGCCTGGGAACAGCGGGGGTCCTGATCACAGAAACCCTGACACTGCACAGGGAGGCCTTTCAGGCCCTAAGTCTGGGGTAGCAGGGCTCACAGCAGGAATCACCGGGACAATAACGAAGCTGGTTTCTTCCCCCTTTCTAGGCAGAGTAGCTGTCAGGCTGGGCTGGGCAGTGCTGCGGTAACCATGACAACACCTGGGGGCTTAGAACAGGGTGTGTCTGTCCCATGGCACGTGTCCCATGACACAGGGAGGGCGAGGTTCTGGCACAGGGGTGGAGGCTCCACCACCTCGCAGCTGCGCCCCACGGAACCCACATGTTCTCACCGGCTCTCGGCCCCACAGAGGCCAGGGGCCAGGAGCACCACATGTGTGTTACACTTGTCACTTCAGGAGTAGTGTGATCCGTGTTACGTTTAGTGGCCACACTAGTGACAGGGCCCTGGGTAACTGCCAGGGACTAGAGAACATGGGGGAGCAAAGGATTGTTTGGTGAGTTCCACTGTCCCTGCCACCAAGACAGCACTTCCCCAGCCAGTCCCCTTCCTCTTCAGGTGCCTGACAGCCTCT